TGTGTGTGTGTGTGTGTGTGTGTGTGTGTGTGTGTGTGTGTGTGTGTTTCCTTGCGATAGAATGAAGTCTCCCAGCAGCCAAAGGCCTGCTCTTTTCCTATTGAATTGTTAACTTGCTCATACCGGATCCAATCAATCACACCCTGCTGGTAGCTATCATCTGTGCGCACACACACGCACGCACACACACACGCACACACACGCACACACACACACACACACACACACACACACACACACACACACACACGCTTGCACACACACACACAAGCTTGCTGGGGGTATTATTGCTCACTTGTTGGTTTCTACCTGCCTCTTAATGCCTTGAATGTCCCTGTACAGTGAAAATAAATATGCCTTGTCAATTTGACAACGCAGAGAAGACTGTATGCAAACCGAGGCATCAAAATGGTGACATATCAAGCCACCCTCGCCATTGTCAGGTTCTGTGGGCGTGTACACTGAAGGTGCTGAGATCACACCCCTCTCAACTGTCAATCAAGTTACCCCATCGTCGAGCATTTTTCTTCTGCTCACACGTGACAACTACGTGTTAAAAACTCTTATCCTCACTCCCGCCTTTTTCATCGTGACATACATGCACTCACGGCTAACGAGGCGCTCTAAAGCAGCCACGCCAGGGACTGCAGGAAGATGCGACTTTGGAATGTATTTTTCCTATAGTGGGTGAAGGACGACACATGCCTGAGCCAGAATGTGTCGTATTCCACCACTTAAACCACAGCACAAAAAAAAAAAAATTAAAATAAAAAAATCGGGAAAACTGAATTGGTGAAGAACAGTTTAAAACTGTATCTGCACACCTGAGGACTACGTGCTTCTCAGTCTTTCGACATCATCTTCACACGTGTACAATCTATTTGGAAATAAATCATTGGCGTTGGCCAGTGTTGAGTGTACATGATCTCATATTCATTGATGTCATTCCCTTCTATTTGGGTTTCCAGCTCAGCATCCAGGCGCGCTCCGAGGTGCTCCGGCGAGCCACCAACACACTGCGGCTGCTGGCTGAAAAGAGCAAGAAGCGAGGAGGGCGAGCGACAGCCAGCGCTGAGGCGACCAGCGAGCGGGAAGACGCGGAAGAGGCCGCGATGACTTTGGACGACGCCCTGGCCCACCTGCACCAGTCGCAGGCCCACTTGGAGACGCTGAGTCATGACTTCATCACGTCGCTGCGAGACAGCCCACAGGTAAAGGCCGTCTGCATCTGCCGCATCACGTTCACACGTGACTGGACATACTTCATCAACACTGCACTTATCAGAAATGACATGACAAAACAACATTTATACCTAGTATTTTGTACACTTAGTTTATTTGTTTTATTATGACATTTATTTTATACCAGTGCACTTTGTATTATTTTGTGTATTTTCTTTGTTTTCTTTTTCTGCTCATTTTGTGTCCTCCTTTATTGTAATTTTTTTTCACATTCATGTTTTATTCTTCGTTTTTTTTCGTTTGTTTTTCTTTTCAATTTTCCAATTTGTTTGGCATTATTTTTTTTTAATTCTATGTTTTATGTTCTATAATATTGATTTATTTTGAGTTATTTAAGTGATATTTTTAATATTTTTGTCTGGCATTTGTAATTAGTGTTTCACAGTTTTTAAATTCACTTGAAAATGACTTTTTTCCAATTTCATATAATCATATTTCAATAATATAAAATCTAACAATTTAATTGCAACTTATTCTTGACCAAAACATCTTAAAATAGTCAAGTTTCAATCTTTCAGTTTTTTGATTCATTAAATATTTTGTTTATTGAGGTGAAAAGAAAATGAATGACGAACAAATGTGGCCTTAAATACCACTACAATAATATATAATTTCAAATGCATTAACTTAAAAATTTGCCGATGTGCAGTGGTGCCTTGAGATAGGATAAAAAGATTTCAGCTATTTAATGATGTTATTGCTACATTTTTATCAAGTATAATATTATAGAATTCTACGTTATTTATTATAAAATTCTTGCGGGGTATTACCAGAGCCTGGAATGAATTAATGGCATTTGCATTCATTTTAATGGGGAAAGATGATTTGAGTGTGTTTTCAGTTGTTAGCGTGGTCACGGAATAAATTAAACTCTCATCTCAAGGCATCACTGCAGTTCTTTCGGGGAAGTGTTTGAATACGAGCACACATAAATGCTGCTGTCAACATCCAAATCTTTTGCCTCTATGACGTATTTGGCGGCATACTTTGTTGTTTTTGTTGTTCTTCCCATTGTGGATTTTCTATCCTTCCACACTGGAGTGTGTCTGTCACGCTCTTTCTCACTAAGCAACTTCTCCTGCTGTCACCTTCCTGTTGCTGCGTGTGCACGCTCGCTTGTGGACGCACTCAAGAAGGGAGGTTATGATTTGGCAGTGTTGCTATGCAACGGTGAGATATGGGTAAAAGACGGTCATTTCTGACTCCCACGCTCTCTGCATGTTAATCACATTTAAACCCCGATTTCCACTTTTGTTTCCTTTTTTTTTTTTTTTTTTTTTAATCGCTACTTTACACACATGGTCGTTTCACAATGCAAAACCTGATATGACACCCGCACACCCACACACACACCCATTGTAAGGCTGTTCTGAAGCCATTGTGTCCTCACTTCGATCTAATGGCTGAACAATCAAATTGTCCTTTTTGTTACTGATGTGGATCCAGATTTGCTTATTTCCGCTTTTATCTTTTTCGCCTCATCTGACCCGGGTTGTAAAGGCTGTCAGGGAGCGCGCATGCTTCTCAGCCGGCCGACAATAATAAAGTCTGCAGCATCACATCGGCCATCTGGGCCCAATTGGACCCTTTCCCGAAAGACTTCCGAGTGACTTACGACAAGAGGCGAGCGGCACGTACCGAGTGCAACTTCAAAACTACTGGCCATTTGAGCTGGGGGCCAAAACCCTTCTTTTCACTTCACAGCCATCCGTCAAAACAATACAAAATAACGCGGTGAATATCGCCGCTGTGACAAGCTGCCGTTACACCCTGAGGTTTTAACTACCACAAATGTTTATCGCCTGTAGGGCCTTTATTGCAATGGCTCCTTGATGGCCTTTTTCCAGTGAAGTGTAGCCAAGTGCATTGTGGGAAAGCGTTGTTACAATAGACCATATTGTATTATTGCTCCTTGCTTTTAGCTTAAACGGTCCTATGTCCATTTGGTACAATGGCGGCACTGTTACGCCCCTTTGCATTTTATTTTGGTTTGCTATCTGGTCCATTCCAGGAACAGCTGCGGGGCTACAGCCGACTTTACGATCTGTCCCGCTCCGAGAGGTCCAAGGTCCACGAACTGGCAGTCACCATGGCGACCGACGGCCAGCCTCTCCAGAGTATCCGCCAGCTCCTGCACATCGCCTTGGGACAGCAAGACCTGTCGGTCAAAAGTGTGCTGCAGGACGCCGTGGCTAGAGTTGTCACTGTGCTCAGGTACCCTGTGATATGATTTATTTTTTTAAATCATTTTTTTGGTGACAATATCAAGGTTAAGCGATTATCGGTCATGTATTTAGTTAACTCGTAAACCAGCTTTAAATGCTCTCTTCAAAAACCCACTCTTTGACAAAATGCAGTCAAGTGTATCACAATTCAGTTCAGTTTAGTTCCTGAGTTAAGTCATTAAATTGATAAGCTATCATTCAGCCCGCCGTCTTTCTTTTTTGGGGTTTGTGGCGCTCCAGGGGGACGGCCCAAAATTGCTTCCATTGGAGCTTATTCTGTCAGACGGCCAGCAAAAACCTGAATCCATCAGTGACGGACTGACGGACCGTCCATCGATATTGACGGAAGAGTGTAAATGCACACTTCTGCTAGTTTGTTAGTCAAACATGAACAAATTAGCAACTAGCTAAGAGCTAACCAATTCCAACCAATCATAATGTCCTCATAGGAGTGAGAAGCTCAAAATACCAAAATGATATTTTAATAATTTTTTTGTAATACATTGATTTCCTTGCACAGCGTTTCATTTCAATTGGGTAACTGAAAGAAAAGACTTTGATTTCCTTTTCTGAGTGCTTGTCCCCCCGACACACGTCTTCTTTTGCACCTCTTATCTTAATGAACTCTGTAAAACCATTCCCATCATTTTGCATTCACTTTTCTGGTTTCTGGTATGCGTGTGTTTTTTTTCAGCGGCGACCCCGACATCCTGACAAAACACACAGCAGCCCTCGACGTGCTCAAGGCCATGGCGATGGCTGTGCACAGCAGTGTACAGGAGGGGTACGTCGTGCACACATGCCCACGCATAGGAAACACCGTTTGATTGACACTGTCAGAGACGTGTTAACACTGTTTATTTTTATGTCACTGTTGAAAAGATTTTTCATGAAAATGTGTTGGTTAGTATTCGTTTAGGTTCGCTAGAAGGCTAGGGCTAGGTAGGTAGTTAGGAGGCTAGCAAATTAGTCATTCCGACAAATGCAACAATGGACGGTGAGAGACTAGTCAGTTAGTTAATTAGCTAGCCTACTAGCAAATGGTAGGTTGGTTCAAGGTGTAAAAATGTTTTTTGTTGTAAAATTTTTGAGTTCATTTTTTTGAATCTAAGATTGCTAGTTGGTCAGCAAGCAAACATTTAGTCAGTCAGTTTAATGTAGCATTTTGGGCAGCAAACAAATATTTGTAGGCTTTCACAAAAATACATGATTGGTATTGGTTTGCTAGACATCGAGTTAATTATTTAATTGGTTGATTAATTAGTTAGCATAAGACAGCAATTCTTGTTTGATGTAATTAGCTAGCCAGCTAATTTGTCAACCAGCAAATGAGTTAGCTATTTTCATTCGTTGGTTAGCTCGCAAATTAGTTAGCTAGCAAATTCTTCAGATTGCAAACTAGTTGGATGGCAAACTAGCGAGTAGCCTCAACTACTTGCTATAGTTGATAACCTGTTAATTAGACTAGGCAAAAAGTAATTCATTTCTTTCTCCCAAATTAGCGAGGACACATTACATTCAGTTGTGGAGTGTGTAGCCTTGGCGAGGTCTATTTTTGTCCAGAAAGACTGTGTGGAAAGCTGTCTCTCATAGGACCTGACACGCACCCAATCTCACTCTTTCAGTGACAGCATGGTGAGCTCTGACGACCTGCTGGCCTGGCTGCGACCGTTCTGCGGCGACCCGTCGCTCCCGGTGCGTCCTCGAATCGCCGTGCTGCAGATCCTTGAGAGTAACTTCAGCATGTGCGACGCTGATGTGCGTCTCCTGCTGCTCTACAGGACGCAAGCTGTCCTCAAACACACCGAGGTAACACACACACACACACACACACACACACATACACAAAACACTAAACTCACACAAAAGATCAAAAGAAAAATAAAACTCTGTCTCATGTAACTCTATGAAAAAATACTGTATTGAAATATATATTTTGGTGTATAAACATTTTAAGAATGTCCCAATCACTTTTTTTTCCCTCCTGAATCTGAGTGCAAGTCACTTGATTTTAGAAATTGAGAAAGACCCCACTGAAGGCCTAGCTACCCAATGCACAGAAAATAAACTATGACTTTGTTTTGGTGAAGTATGGTGAAGTGAACCTTTGCTGACAATATTCCCTCAAATTTCCATTTAAATAGCTCGGCCATTCCGTCACTTCATTGACTAATTAAGGGTCTGCAGAATTCAGGTGTTCATGTATGCTTGGCAGCAGTAGACAGGTGTGTGTGTGTGTGTGTGTGTGTGTGTGTGTGTGTGTGTGTGTGTGTGTGTGTGTGTGTGTGTGTGTGTGTGTGTGGTCCCGTTCGCTATAGCTGCTAGGCACGCGCGCACACACGCACCTACGCACACACGCACGCACGCACGTACACACACACACACACACACACACACACACACACACACACACACACACACACACACACACACACCGTGGAAATGAACAGCCAAAGGGAGCATTTAATTAATCTTTTTTTTTTTTTTTTGTGAAAGGACGTTCTACACTCTGTACCTTCTCTCTTGTTAAAGGTCTTTCAATGCGCATGCAGTCTTTTTCTCGACACATTTGAAAGATTCAATGCATAACGTTTCTCTACTTTGAGTGGGTTTTTTTTCCTCCATCACTTCTGCTCCCCAGTTTAGGAGCAGATGGTCATCCTAAAGCGTGCTTCAGAGATGTTCAGAGTACCTCTCCACAAACAAATCTTATGTGTCGTCATAATGGTTGCTCAGCACATGGTTAAAGGCATTAAATAGCTAGTTGTCCACTGGCCAAGTAGTTACTTAAAAAAAAAATCAATAAATAAAAAAAGAATAGTCATTAATGATGTTTGTAATATTAAGCAAAAAGTAGTCCATTTGTCAAATTTGTCAGCAAGTAAATTTGTTGGTTAATTAGCTAGCTAGCGAGTTGACTGTTAGCTTGTTTGCGTGTTAGCTGGATGTCTTGAAAACTAGTATATTTAATGATCAGTTTGTAGGATTACTTGTTCACTTAGCAAACAAGTTATTGTAGTATCAGAGTCAATTGTCAAACTAGTCATTTGGTTAGCTGGTTAGCTTTTTGTTATTAGGATCAGGCACACATCACTCATTGCTGAGTATAACCATGCTAGTCTCATGTCTGATGAAGTAGTTAACTAGCTAGTTAGTTAGCCAGTTGTTCAGTTTGAAAACTGCTTAGCTAGTTAACTAACCAGTATATTCTGTTTGTCAGTGTGAAAAATAGCAAACTAATTAAGTAGTTTGTAGTTTAAGTAGTAGTAACTCAAACTAGTTAGTCGTATTTGACAAAATAGTTTTGTAGTTGCTCATTTGGGGGAAAAAATAGTTAGCAAACTGCAATTAATTAGAAGGATGAGACAAAAACAGTTTGAAAAGAAGGGGCCATACTTTGATGCCTCATCAAGAAAACAAGACGCCGACAGAGAGGCCGACACTTAGCATTTAACTCGCGGCGAGGTGAAGCCTCGCATAGATTTTGTGACTTCATCTGGAGTGATTAGTCAAAACCGGCGACAGTTAAAATGTCACCCCTGTCAGGACGGGAGCGCGTCTCTTCTCCGCGAGCGTAGCGTGCACGCACGTTAATCTATATTGTGCGCCACACGTGGCCTTTTGCTCACCAGGGCAATAATTTACTTTATTTGTTTGTAACATTTAGCGGACAAAAAAACTGACATGAATGCAGATTCTACATGCGTGCGTGTGAACCCTTGCACATTAAAGGAAGGATTGTAGAATTACCTCCGCCAAGGAGGATTTCATTTTCATTTGTAATTCATCCATTTTCCAATACGCTTATCCTCATAAGGGTCGCGGTCGTGCTAGAGCATATCGCACCCGCATTCAGGCAGGAGGTTGGGTACAAGCAGATAGCAATTGCAGGGCACACATCGACAAACAACAACCATTCACACTGACAATCACTCTTGTATGAAACTGTAATGTCAGTTTCAGAATGAACGCAAGTGGCTGGCTGGATACATAATCACTGTAAAGGTAGTGAGGCTGCTCTCAACACGTCACAGGTCGCTGTCGTGCTAGCTCGTCCCTAAACTGTTATTTTCCTTATTTTTAGCAGACTTCCTTCATCTGTGACCCTCAGGCGGTCTTCTGCGGCCAACACTTTAGTTAGTTTTCAAGCTTATAGCCTGGAGAGACCGCCTCTTGTCATCTAGCCGGTCGCCACCGTGGATGATTCACTCTGTAAAATAAAAAACGGGAGCAGCGCAATAAAACGCGAGCAGAGTGAGGAGGAGTGGAAATAAGGCGAAAAAGACAAAAAGCCCGAGGAGGAGTTGAAATCATTCCAGTTGGAAGAACAATGTGCCATGAGTTGGACGGGAACCACTTGTTGTTTAGGTTTGATGAGTTAGGCCTAATGCTCGCCCCATTTGAATCATAAACGAACTTTGACTAAGCAGCTGTGGCAAGTCAATAATTTCAGTCGCTGGACAACCCGGAGCTGTTCGCGACGAGCGTAATCATACATTTTCTCATAAAAGCAGACAGTGGTTTGAGCTAGCTCATCGATTCTGTCATCCATCCATTTGTCGATTTGGCGAAACAAGCCGTCGATACAGGAACTGACAGCGTTCAGAAAGAGATTGTGTCACCCAGATTCGCCCAGAATTTTTACCGGTGTTGTGCTCCTCGGTGATCGCACCCCGGTCGTAAGTAATTGCGAGGCGTTTACGTGTCGCCCGCTCGGAGCGTTCCTTTTCTCTTTGACCTTTTTTTTTCCTCACTGATGGAATATTCATGGGACAGCCTCCTCCCCCCAACCCCACCGGGAAGGCCGCATGCATGATGAAGGACAGCGCAGTCTGGCTCCAAATGGGCTTCATTTTAAAATATACTGCGTGTGTGTGTTTAATATTGATATTTTGTGGGCTGAGCTTTCATGTCAAGCAGGCGTGTGTGTTGGCGGCCGGGAGGTGTGTCGTTTCAATCTGTTTTCTTCTTTTCATATGGTTTCACCTTGAGGTCCACACTTTGTTACCCCGACACCCATTTCAAGTGCCCCTCAGCTTCGCCGGGGACGACTGGCAGCCGCGTGACAATATAAACACTCAACCAACCTAAAAGAAACAGTCGACGCGGTTCTTTTACGAGAAAGATAAATTGGTTTCGAGCCTTTTTTTCCGTTCTTTAGTAATCAACAGTCGAAGATGGGTCACTTTGACCAAAACACTGGTTCCTGACCTAAAAAGCGGAGCGACGGAGTTTGTTGCGGAAAAGAAACAAGCATGTCGATCAGAAGACTTACTTTTATGCTAATATGTTTTGTTTCTGTGACACTTCAAATTATAAAACAACAAAAACAAGACTGAGAAAGGCATTGTGAAGGCAAAATGATTTATTTACGGATGTACAACAAAACAGACAGCGTGAGCGGCACTGAGTCATCGAATGGCTCTAGTTTAACGTTTTTTTTTTTAATTTTTTTAAATTTTTTTATTTACATGGCATCCACCATGACTCCATGAACTGTGCCATCATTTTCGAAAGTCTCTCACACGCCTTCCGATTACGACGCGCTTGAAATATTTGTGTGTTTCAATACCTTTTTATATATGTAGTGATCCCCTCCTACATTGTATTTTTTTTCTCCATAGGATACTTATAAAAGTCTGCACTGCAAGGCTAGGAAAGGTGCTGCTCAAGTCAAAAGTAGAAAACAGCAGACAGGATACTTTGCATGCGCACGATGTGAATTTGTGCGCGTGTTCAGTTACACTCTTTGACGCGGCGATAAACCGCCAGAACGCAACATCCCGCTGGCCCTGAGGCTTTTTTTGCCCTTCTCTTGTTTGTGTCTCATTTAGTCTCTTATCGGCTTTTTTTTTTTCTTTTAAATCCTCAACATTGCTCTCCCTCTTTCTCCCGCCCGTTCTCTTTTCTCTCGTGCGAAGTGTGCGACCTCTACAACTTCATTCCCGCCCGCCACTCGGGACATTAGCCACAGCGGGTGGATGAATATTGATGAGCTGGCAGAAAAAGCCCAAAGCATCGACGCCGCTCCCTGGCCGATACACACTGACAAGCCCAAATGGGGCCTCCTTCCGCTGCTTCTCTCTGTCGCGCGGGTCAAGGACAAGTAGAGAAGGTAAATGACCTTAACTTAACTTTCAAGAGCCGATCACGCTAGACTACTGTGTATCCGCACAATGTTGAAATCACTTTAAAGAGATTTCTTTCTTTATACTGTAAATACATTACTCGTTACTGAAAACGTGCAACGACAGACACGTATTTCGGTCTCAGTTGTGGAGATGTAGTAACTAATTAAGAATTGATTGCCTTGGATCCGCATCAGCAGTTAGCCACCATATTTGGGCTATGCAGTTAGCTAGCTAGCTATGTCTACACCGCAAAAATGCATCTTCCCTCTAAAGTGAGCGCTTTAGAGCCCGTCGTTGTTAGCCGAAAGCGTGCGCACGTCACGCAGAGGGAAGACAGAAGAGTATGGATGGTTTCTATTTATTCATTTTTGCCAAAAAAAAAAAAGTTTGACTTTTTGTGGAATGGGGCTTCAGGGAGGCATGAATCGTAATTTTTGAAGACTTGTCACATAAATGTGACTTTTTTTTTTCAATAATTCACATTTGCTGGGTTATTAACAACATTTCTCTGTGGAGTGTCAAACGGGTGTATCTATCATGGATTTTCCACATTTCTATTGAAGATAAATGTGAACGCATGAACCCGTACATCTTGGCCAATGGTCCTCTTTCATCATCAGACACAAATTACCATAATCTTCAGACCATTGTCATCTGTGCTTACCACTTCTTCACAAAATCAGATTAAAAAAAAGTATTTTATTTGAACTAGTTGAACTCCATCAATGTAAAATGATCATGTGTTTATTTCCTAAATGTAAACTTTGGAGAAAAGTAACCGGTCAACCTCCTCTTGATACCAAGTGAGGCCCTTATTGTAATTAGTGATACAAACACCGCATGCATTTAGCAAAAGGTAATCATCAGACTTTTTATAACATGGACATGTTTCAACGTTCTCGACTTTTCACTTGATTAACGTTCAGGTAATGATGGAGAATTATTTCAAGTAATGACACGCAATGACCTCATTTGTCTCTCCGCGTGTAATTAAGCAATGACTTATGTAAATTTGGCATAGATAGCTATCATTAATTCTTCAAGCATTTTCTTTATTTGTCCCGACTCCACCTCAAACAATAAAACTCCCGTCTTGATTTTATATTCAGCCTTTTAATTGTGCCAGCCGCCTCATTAGCATGCGCACTTTCATCCCACTTTGCTCGTTTAACATTGTACAATGCTGCAAATCCTCGGGGTATGCACCAAATTAGTGCTCGGACTAAGGAGAAAAAAAAAAAAAAAGACACTGAATCTTTTCCTAGTTTTCTCTCTTCAGCACTTTAAGACCATTAGCATGCATTTAAAGAAGACGTACTCTGCATTTTTTTTCACCATTGAAAAGAGTTTCCTGCTGTTTTAAGAATCTTTCCCTGACTGACTTTTGTTAAAATGCGTCAAATAGCTCCGGATTAAATCTGTCTCCATTTACAGCTGATCCAATGACAAGTCTGGCTCTCGTTACCGTGACAACCAGAGGCAGCGCTACTGTAGGGCGTTGCAACTAGACGAGCAGCTTCTACTTGCAGAAGCATAGACTGAGTGTGTGCTAAAGTTGTGCTAATTTGAAGGAAAACAAGACGTTCGGAGAAAAAAATTGATGTGAGATTTACTGACTTTTGTTAAAATGCGTCAAATAGCTCCGGATTAAATCTGTCTCCATTTACAGCTGATCCAATGACAAGTCTGGCTCTCGTTACCGTGACAACCAGAGGCAGCGCTACTGTAGGGCGTTGCAACTCGACGAGCAGCTTCTACTTGCGGAAGCATAGACTGAGTGTGTGCTAAAGTTCTGCTAATTTGAAGGAAAACAAGACGTTTGGAGAAAAAAAATTGATGTGAGATTTGTTTTTATGTTACAATAAAGCGAAGCACTCAGTTTTATTCATAACATTATGTTCGGAGTCTCATGTTGCAAAGTTATGGGGAAACAAATTCAAATAATTGCAGATTTTTGCAATTATGGGGTCGAGTGACCAAGATTCTGAGAGCAAAATAATAATCAGAGTAAAGTCACGATGAGGTTAAGCTCGCAATGTTATGACAATAAGGTCTTTATTATGTTTGTATGTAAAGTTGAATTTTTACAAGAAAATGCAATATGACAAAAAGGTCAGTGTTATGTATCATTACAAGCTCTCATTTTGTTCTCTTAAAAACTAATATAATACTTTAATAAATCATTAGAAAAACAACAATCAATAGTATAAATTAATTTTCATTATATGCACAGTATAATAATGTATATGTCTAGTAATGACAATAATGTAACTACATTCATATTAAAAAACCAGATCAGTGCAAAATTGCTAGATCCAAAATGCTCAACCAAAACATAGTTTGTCTGACAATAGTTGGCCATCTTAACGCTAGCAAAATGCAAAACGACAGATGAACAAATGGAATAAGCAAACAGCTTCCTGCAATACTAGCCGGCATTTTTTTCTCTCCACTCTGTCTAAATTCCACTTTGCCAATATACCGAGCAAACAATAAAAAAAATTAATAAAAACCAAACATTAAAAAAACATAAAAAACAAAAGAAAAAAACAGCGGCTTACAAATCTGCGTGTTCATTTAGATTCAGCGGATAAATGACACACGCCGGCAGTCACGCGGCATCCATTTTCCCTTTTTCCTTTTTCCCCCAAAAGGAGACAAAGCGGTGTGACGCTAACTGAGTGGTATTAAAGAGTGAGGCCAGACTGAGGAGGCGTTAATTATCCATTAGAGCAGCGTGTGGTCCGGATGAACACCATTAGCAATGAATGAAGCGCACCACATTTTCCCCCCTTCAGCGTTAAGTAAAGATAAACGATGGTACACTTAAAGAAAGGCGAGCACTTTTTGCTAATAAACTCCTTGATGAATGGACTATGATGTCCATTTCCCTCTACCCGCCGACAGGAAGTGGCAACTGAAATGACAACTACACCACCTGTCTTGCCGCTTGCATAACTAACATTAGAACTTAGCTAACTAGCTAGCTTGCTGCCGACTCAACCTGCTTAACCTCCATCGACCGCTAGCAACATTAGAACTTAGCTAACTAGCTACCTTGCTCCCGACTCAACCTGCTTAACCTCCATCGAGCGCTAACATTAGAACTTAGCTAACTAGCTAGCTTGCTGTCGACTCAACCTGCTGAACCTCCATCGACTGACCTACCAACTGTAGCCACCCAATTACCTACCTAGCGACACTCTGTAAAAAAGCACAACTTGTATTTGTTGGTGGTGAAACAGTAATTTCACTTCTTACAACACGGGTGTCAAACTCAAGGCCAGATCTGGCCCGCCACATCATTTTATGTGGCCCGCGGTAAGCAAATCAAACATGTCAACTTCCATGATGCTTGCTAAAATCTCGACCAAAATTTAAATTTCTCATATGTAATAAATAAGAGACATATTGTAAGCATTTTCTTGTAACCAAACCCCTCATTACAGTAACTTAAACAATAGTTGAATAAACCATTATTATTGACTTTATTTGGTTTCAGTCATAACGGCCCTCCAAGGGAAAATATAACTAAAATGTGTTACTAGAACTAAATGCGAATAAAATGAGTTTGACACCCCTGTCTCACACCCTTAAAATATAAGTGATTTGACATTTACGGCAACAATGTTAGTTAGCACAACAAAGCGATTAAGTTGTTTGTTCCCCAATGACTTGCTGAGTTGTTTTTACTTCTATCTTGAAGCTGGGGGGGAGGGGCAATTCATTTCCTCTGATAGGCGGGAAAAACAGCTAAACTTAAATATTGAGTTTGATTGCCCAACTTAAAATTTAGAAAAGTTTTTTGCCCTGAAATTGCGAGTTAACTTTTTTTTTAACAGTGTGCAGACCAATTTTCACACCGGCATGCCAAAAAATGTACCAACCAACCCACCTACCACCCCTCTGACGATGAACCTCACCAGCTATCTCCAAACAGTACCATCAACCGTATCTACCAAGCAAACTTACAGTCAGGTCCAAAAATTTGGGGACATGGACACAGTTGTCATCGTTTTGCTTTGTCCACCAATTGAGGCTGAATCTCTGCAATTGAAGCACGTCTTGTTTGTTGTTTTGTTGAGCCAAAAAGAAAATTGTCCATTTCCCAATATTTCTGGTCCTGACTGTATACCGCATTTTCATACAACACAAAGTCCCAGGCGTCTCGATAGATCAGTCAAAATGCAGGAAGCCAGCTGACAATATCGGGAACGCTGCTTTGAAAAGAACATTTTCATCTGTTGCATCGATGGCCAACAATGTCATTAAGGTTTGACGCCATACATGTCACTTTCCCACAAGTTCCTTTTTAACAACACAATTCAAGAATACAATCTGATTTGTTGTACCTCGGTGGCGGTCCTCAACCGTGGTGTCGAGACGGCTTCTTTGGAAGCAGGTCACGTGACCCGATCTCCTCCCTGCCACTCCGCCAGGTGCAGATAGAAGACGTGGAGAACGAAGACAAGCGCAACAGCCTATTCCTGCAGCTTTTGGAGGCGGCGCGCCAGTGGGAGGACTTCCAGACGCTCATTTTGCTCCTGCAAGCTTGGCCGCCCTTCATGCAAGATGTGTAAGTGGAGCTTATGACTTCTTCCTCGCTGCAGCTGCGTGTAGACCAAGGCTAGGCGGCCAGTTCTGTTCTTTAATCCAGCCTACCAGATGTTTGGATGACCAAGATTCACGGAATAGTTGTTGGAATCATATTGCATTTTTTTTTTATTTTTGGGGGTGGGGGGGGTGCGGAGGTTGGTCACTACCATATTAATTTCACTACGGAATAGTTGTTGGAATCATATTGCATTTTTTTTTATTTTTGGGGGTGGGGGGGTGCGGAGGTTGGTCACTACCATATTAACTTCACTTAAATTCACTTGTCAATTCACATCTTAAATCTTCCACGCAAACACAACTGAAAGCCAAAGCGAGACAACGCTGCCATCTACTGGGCTGTGTTCATCAGTACAGACAGGGAGAAGCTTGAATTTCATGGACAAGCTGGGCGAGACTCCCCCTTCACACCTTGTCAAAAATGAAGTGACGAATACACCGTAAACCAATTGAAACATCTATGGCAGTGAAATACTTCAAAAACGTTTTTTTATTAAATCACATTTTTTTTAAAAAGCAAATGTAGCGCAAAGCTCCAAAGTTTGCCCACTTTTGCTGTTATTTTCTATGGCTGAGGGGCAAAGTCGAATTTGTAGACCCCAGCTGGTGCGAAATTTATCTCTGGATAAGGCGGGCGGTGCATGTCTCCGTGCAGCAGCTGGCGTGTCTCAGCAGTGTTTGGTTGCATCAACGATGGATCCGTAATGACGTCCCTCTTCAACTCTGCTGACGACTCGACCGTGGGGGTTTAATCCCTGCGGCACACACACAAAAAAAAAAAAAAAAAAAACCCTGATGAGAATTGGTTTGGATGTTTGTCAACTAGAGTATGGTGTTCATTATTGATGTTCACCACTGCCCTGTGAACCAAACACTGACATCTATGTGGGATGGACGAGCCGTCTAGAAATGTAGCATGGCTGCAAAGTGCTTGGGACATCAGAGTGACCTCACTTATGACGGGTGCTCCTCTGGTGTTTTTGGATCCACCTTTTATTGTGATCCACCATAAAACCTAATGGTTTCTTTCTCACACCCTTTCAGGCTTTTATGGAAATCACTTTGTTGGATTTGATATTGTCCTGCTTACAAACGAACAGCAATAAAAAAAGCGGAGGCAATAGTCCCACTTCCTCCTGTTTAATTAGGACTCACTTTGCCGCCGTAATGTGACGCGAGCTTTGAAATGAATTCACGACAGCACCGAGGATTTATCAGCACCGCCAACACAATTTGCCTGTTGAGACGTTTGAAAGCAGGCGTGAGCCACGCTGATCATACACGTGACCTAGCCCGTATTGATCAGTGGAAGCGTCGCACAGACTCAAAAAGCATTTTCATCCCCCTCATACACATATAATGAGGCAAGGCGTGCTGTAACGCGAGCGTCACCATTAGCCAGCTGTCGGCTCCGCGTTGTGCTAATGATAATGCTGGAACTAAAAGCAGCATCTGGAAGAAACGCTTTGCAGCTCTTTAACGCCTTTTTGTCGTGTCATCATCCTTAGAGGTTGAAAAAAAAATGAAACCAGGATCTTTTGACAGAGGAAGGGACAGAATGTACAATATCTGTTTTCAAATGTAGGGAGCAAAAGAAATGTTACTCACTCCCCATATTGACGTTTTAATATCATTGGAGTTGATATTTCTTTAACGGGTCTCAACTGGCCTTATTGGAAACTGTTGGTATACTTTGCGCAGGAAGAAATTGTGGTTTCAAAAGGAGGACAACTGATGCTCACCTCCACTGGAAGAAGTCAAACCCTGGTGGTCAGACATAAGGTCAAAATTTAATAGGCAAATTCATTAGGTTCAGTATGATGGCCGTCTCAACAAAATCGCTCCCTAAAAACAGATGACAATGATTATCTGTTTCTTCTTTGGATTAATTGGCAGGGAAGGAATTTCAGATAGGTCACTTGTAGGCAAGTGTAGTTACGAAAGTAGTTCTAGTGGTAGCTAGCTAGCGAGGAAATGACGACGCTAATGAGGTAGAAGGCTAATAAGGTAGGTACCTAGGTTGGTTGATAGGTACTTAGGTAAAGTGGTTGTTAGGTACTTGTAGGTTAGGAGGTAGCTAGCGATAGCTAGCAGTAAGAGTTGCTAGCTAACGAGATAAGACTTAATCCACCTTGTAAAACCATCTAATATCGTGGATCCTGCCAACTAATTCAAGCTAACCCCAAAGTGTGTTATTGGATGTCATTAATTTGTGCGTTTGTAACTATTAATCAAATGCTGCTGTCGGACAGCAGATGATGACGCTTGCCCTTGCTTTCTGTCCCCAGGGCCACGTCCGAGCGTAACCCCTGGGTTCTGCTGACTTCAGCCATGCTGACCCGCTGCCAGGGGCCCGAGGTGGAGGTGGAGGTGGACCTGGGTCAGCAGGTGTTGACCATGATCCGAGCCCTGTACAACACCAAGCACAAGCTCCCGGCAGAGGTGAAATCACACAGAATATGCGTTGTTTTGATGGGCCATTTGTTGCTCGGCAGAATTCGCATGTTTCAGACAAAAATATCACTAGAAGTATCATCACCATTTATTTACATGGATTTTTCTAGCGCTGCAGCTCCCGATTTTTAAAAAATAATTAAAAAACCTATTGATTATTTTTTTCGATTAATCAATGAAATAGCCCACCCAAAAAACTGGTGTCAAAAAATAAACACAAAATGTTGGCAGTGTCATTTTTGGTCAATCTCATGAATCACGTTGACACTGCAAGCAGTTCTTTGGGCCTCTCAAGTTAAAAAGAGGTGATTAGCGACGAAATAACGTCATGCTCAAAACATTGCAGGCTAGGACATTTGAAAAATCAGTGCGCGATCAACCACTACAATGCACGACTGGTTACCTGGCCATGTGTGAAACCTGGGGCTTTCCGTTAGCATGATCTCAGTGCCTCTTCTTTCATGGCCTTCTGAAGGTGCTAGCTGACCTATCGCTATGTGCGATGCCCCGATAATGATAGTCATGGTTCTCCGAGCTGCATGCCGCTCTGTACATCTATCGCCAGCTGACCGTGATATTAGTTTAGCGCTAATGTTATTCAGCTAGAAAAGGGGACCGTCTGCTGAGCGGCTGTCTGGTATTAGAGTTGGAAATGTGGGTGGGTGCGAAGGGTGGGGAGGGGAGTCATTTTACTGGGTTCCGCTTTAATTTGAATGCGGCAAAATGAAACCAGCAGAGCAGAGGAGTCAGATTGCATTGTAATAGCCATATATTACTCGTGGTGGCGGCACACTATGTGCTCACGTGCACTGGAGACCTTCCTAAAGGCATTATCTACCTCAGTGGCTGTTCACAGAGCATTTTTATTTTACTGTCTTTTCCATTCAGTTTCCCTTGCGTTTGTCGCATTTCTGTACGACCCACAGCTGTTATTATATTATTTCACCCCACCCACCCATTTTCTTATCATTTTATCCTCACGAGTGTCGCGGGCGTGCTGGAGCCTGTCCCAGCCGTCTTCGGGCAGTAGGCGGGGGATACCCTGACCTGTTTGCCAGCCAATCACAGGGCACACATAGACAAACAACCATTTGCGCTCACAATTACACCGAGGGACAATTTAAAGCGTTCCATTAACCTGCCATGCATGTTTTGGGAACGTGGGAGGAAACCAGAGTACCCGGAGAAAACCCACGCAGGCACAGGGAGACCATGCGAACTACACAAAGGAAGGCCTGAGCCGGAATCGAACCCTACTCCTCTGCATTGTGTGGCGTACGTGCTAACCAGTCGCCCACTGTGCCGCTCTAGATTATTCCAATGAGGGAAAATACTTAAACCTGTGCCTTTATTGGGGGAATTGCAGTAGCCAGGTTGTTGCATATCTAATTAGCTAGATGGAAAGTGAGGTAGGGATGTAGCTTGCTAACTTATTTCGGAGACACGTGGGTCAAGTGGGAAGGCAATTAGCTTGTTAATTTCATACGCAAGTAGGCAAGTGGGTACCTGGGTCTCCATCGGGGACTTGCCCAACTTAATCCACCTCCTTTTACTGCCACGATCAATGTCACAATATTTTCTTGACAAAAACACAATATAATACATCGTCCGGAGCAGTTCACAATCACACTGTATCTAATAACAGGACAAAAGCATACAAAAATACTTCAATAAAATACATCATAATCACTGCAGATGGCGTTTATTAAATGTTGGGAATGCAGAGTCACACTGTTTGTTCGATGAACTTGGGTGGTATAAGTTTGACTCTGATAGTTTAGTAATAGGTTGGTAGGTATCTTATTAAAGAGGAAGGGAGGTAATTAGCTAGTGAGCCAAGTGTTTGGCGTAAGTAGTTTTGGAGGTGGTTAACTAGCTAATGAGATGGGTCAGTATCCTGGTAGTCAATGAGCTACGTATAAAGGTACATAGGCAGTTGGCTAGCCTGTTAACAACGAAAGTCGTCAAGTTAGAAGGTAGTATCTAGGTAATTGCTAGCTAGTTCACTCGAATATGTAGCTAGCTTGATTATGAAAATACTTAAGGTTAGTGGACTGTTAGGCAACTGTTCTTGATTACTATGCAGTTGTATGTTTTTATCTTCATTCATTTTATTTGGTGACACAATAGCTGGGAGTGAATTATGTTTTGTACCTTGGCTTCAATAGGTTTTCCTCAACTTTAACCCTCTGGTTTATTGACTTTGCTCCATTTTGAAGCCTCCGTCCACTCTCCATCTTTGTGTTCTGCAGTGCGTCCGAAGTGTGGCCGAAATGCTGCTGCCCAGCTTCCAGCAGCCCGCGCTCAAGCTGATGGCTGAAAGCGGCGACGCCGAGCTGCTGCAACTAACTCTGGATCAAGTCAACGGCATGACCACAGTAAGTACCACGCGAAGCACACAAGAGTTGACGCAGCTGTCTTTGGATCACATCCAAAGTTGATAGTAGTACACACTCATGTTGTTGAGCAATGTGCGGACACTGTTTTAGGGGTATAACAACTACCGAGCAAATGTTCCAACCAATAAAAAGGTCTTTGAGGGAGGTGTTTCATGGGTGGACTAATCCACTTTTCCGAATTACCGTACATCACACACCACAGACCAGAAGCCACAAAGAGGAGGAATGTCCTCGTCTACCCTGCGCGTCATTCATGCACTTGACACCGCTGCACTCGTTTAGTGTGTTAGATAAGCAGCTAATCAGCGGAGCCTCTGCGGGCCACTCGGCTGTTTCCTGATCTGATAAGCAGTTGTCACCAAGCGGGCCCACTCAGACCCGCCTTTTGTGCGGGGAGCTCATCAAGACAAGGTACGGAAACCTCCTTTGACTTTAATGAAACCGAACTGCGCTCCTGGTTCAGTGCATCTCTGACGTGCGCGTGCATGTGCACGCAGAGCTGAATGAAGGTGAGGGAGGAGGGGGAAACAGTTTTTCACACGGAAGCTTTGCAGTTCCCGAACAGGCTGCGGCATATGATCAGATAATACATAATGTTTGCATTTTTCTTTTGAGTTAGTGAAGCAGCATGTGGTGCATGAGTTTGTCTGGCTCTGAACCCGAGTTTACAACGTCATACATGCTAAAGGTTGTACGACACAACATTTTTCATAATGATGGAAGTCGACTCCAAGTCGGTTCATCGACGACCTTTCCCGAACTATACCGCAGTCCCCAACACGGATTGGTTTCATGCAGAACTGCGTTCCCACAGCCACCCAGCCAAACAAATCATTCAAAACAATACAATTCAGCATTAATTAATTATTGGGAGTCATGGGCATCATTTTGTGCATGTTCGGCCAACAAGGCGACACAGTCTTCCTGCAGCTATAAACCTCTACAACACACTGCTGCATCGGAACAGATTCTGCCTTGTGCTTTTTTTTTGTCTTTCGCCCCGATGAAGCCAAGTGTTTGTTAATTGGCATTGTATGCCTTGTTCCTATTTTGAACAATTGTACACTCTGTGCGTCATACAGCAAATGTTCCCGCTCCTTTCATCGCCGCCGGCATGCTCAACTTTTTCAATTAGGCGTCACCTTAATGGGCTTTTGTTTTTCCCTCCACCATAACAAGCAAAGTGAATTAGCCAAGACTTTGCTAAATGTCACTCTTAATTCACCTGCCTTTTCATATTTGCATAAACAAGCCTCGAGGTTTCATTCTCTCCCACTGCAGCATAAACGAATCTGTTTGACAACGCCGCTCGCCGTGACTGACAGCCGTTATCTCGCCGCCGAGCGCCGCGGCGTCCCGTCGCCCCAATAAGCACATGATTTATTTTCTTCACAAACGCGATACCCCCTGAGATCGTACTTATACCAAGTTGAATTCCTGGAGATTAGCGTGTCATTAAGACGCCGTTGTGTGAAAACTCTCTTGACATGCTGTTTCAATGAGAAGCGTTGGTGAGACACTGTGGCTGGCTGGGGAAATAAAGAACAAAACAGGAAATGAAGGAGCTACTACTACTACTTTATGGGCCAGCAGGATGTGACAATGGAGGAAAATAGAGTTGGGACCACAAAAAAAAAAGATCATCCTCAAGGTCTTTGAGTTGAAGTATTTGAGGGTTGTGTCCCAAAACTTGTGTGTGAGAGCTTCATGTTTGAAATGATACAAAGATGCTGGCCACATGCATTATGGATCAGCCAGTGTTGTTGCGGCAATAATTCCAATCAAAGTATTCCGCCGCGACAAGATGGATACAGGCAGGAAACAAGAGGCGGTGGAATGGCAAACAAGCGTGTGAAATATTGACCAGCGAATGCGGGCGTCGCCGTACAACCAGGCGGCAAAACGCAACCTGAGCTTTCGTGTCAGCACGCATGAACACAGCCAGGAGGTCATAACAAGTGCGAGGGTGGGCGGGGGTGTTGTTGACATCTTGTGGCGGAAGTTTGATGTGTGTTAGCTCACTTCGTCACATCGCACGCCAACTGTGAGCACACCTGATTGAAGATGAGATAGAAGAAGCAAAGCCAAGGCTCAAAGAATGCAGTTAAGACAACCACTAGATAACATGCAGCACTTTGGCAAATAAAAATAAAATAAAACAAGCTTGCACGTAAAGGGAAACATCATTGACAGGCTAAGGAATAACTTCTACAGCATGTGGCGCTGTGATCATGCTTTCACCTATGGACATTTGAGCACAAACAGTGCAGCAACACATGTCGACAGACAAGACCACAATATTGAATTCTCTGTTACCACATACTGTATTACTGCAGTTATAGTGAGCCACTGAAAGTACTCAAGTACACAAATCCTGGTTGTGTGGTGAACCCTAAAAAAAAACGTTTTTTTAGGGACCGTGAATTGTGTATCATTTACTGCATGGCTACCTCAGTGTTCGTGTATGCGCCATACTCCTTGAGTATTGAGTTGGAATTTCACCCATTCCATAAACCACCACTGGAAATGGATTGGTGATGTTTTTCCACCTCACTCGAGTCCTGAAAAATTTTCTTTGCTCTATCGCCAGTGGGTCCACAAGTCGGACCGCCTCCTTGTAGACTTGTTGCCTGATTTCAAAGGCTTCCGCGCAGCTAACCACAACCCAGATGGCGTCGCACATCACGTGCTGTGCGATGTTCCAGAGTCCCCTCTGAACACCGCTGCCGTTGGCTGAGCCTTGGAATAAGGAAAAAAAAAAGTGACAGGCCGTCATGTTGTACAAAGGACAGCAGAAATTTCAGGCTCTTTTCTGATAGCACCCCCCCCGCAACCCTCCGTCTCCATTTCCACACTGCTGCGTCACATCTATTTCCACTTGGCCTGTCAATCCCACTGTCTGCAGGCTTCAAATCTTCCATCTCTTCCCTCTCACGAACACACGTCAAACTGTAAAAGCCTGGGAGGTGTGTGCCTCTGTGTGTGTGTGAGTATGTGAAGCTGAGTGACGGAGTAGCAGCCTGCTGCTCAAGCACCTGCTGGTTGACCCGAAAATCCCGTGCCGACCAGTTGCAGCACTAAATTATCTTGCGAATTGAGTTGAAAATCATGAGAAAAGTCCATCATAATTCGTGTAACTGAATAATTGTCATAGGTTCATTTTACTGGGGCCTAGCTGCCAAAGAAATTCAGCGTTAGATGATTATTTATAATTATTCAAATAAGCCAAATTGTGCCATCACAAAGACCTTTTCAGCAGCGAAAATAACGTACTTGGTTGTTTCACTTATTGACTGCGGTGGATGTTTATTTTCGTTAAGCATTTACTGTCCATGGGGCCAAGTATTGAGCCTTGTGGAACACCATCAGTATTAACTTATGGCAGGGAATTTTGAAATTAACTTTATACACGTCAAGTACGTCTTTCAGTGGTTTAAGTGTGGACGAGAGTCTCGCCCAGCTAGTCTGTGAAATTCCGCTTGGTAACTCACTGTCTTGACAAACACATCCCTGCTTTGAAGTAGAAGCTGCCCAGCCACAAGTGACGCTCATCCAAAGGCCGCACTCAACACGTCGTCTAGCTAGCTAATGGTTAGCCAGCTACCAGCCAGCCGCTATCCTGAACAAACAACAGCATAGTGGCTGCCTCGCGGATTTTTGCCAATGATGAATGAGGAACTACTGTAGCCCTTTAATCTATCAATAACCTTGTTTACAAAGAAATTTGCAGTTGAGTAAATGAAACCCCCCGGCCACCATTTCTACACATCCATTATTTGTGTTTTTAAGGCCGAATTGTTCCTGAAGAGGTGGAAAAGCGAGTTGTGCGAGTGCTACCAAGTGGTGGGGTTGCACTGGCAGACATGGGCCCCATATGCATAATTGAGCGGGCTCAACTCCAGAAATACCCCATCAGGGACGTCAGTGTGCACTTAGCGAGTAACACTCACAGCCAACAGGTGAGAGGCTGCATGGTCGGAAGCCGCTCTCAAGTCTGACGTGACGTAGCTGAGCAGAAGAGGCGATGAAAACATGACACGGGCGATTGTTTGTGCCTGCGTGTATGCGTGTTTGTGTGTTTGCGACTCGTCGCTGCACAAGCGCTAGCTTGGATGTGACCCATTTCCCAAAGCATCGTTCTTGAGTCAATTCCAGCAAGGGGCAACGCACAGGCTACACTGGAATTCAAACTGGAGCTTGTAGTCTCAACACAGCTCACTGTTTTATTCACATCAGTACAGAAGGAAGAGACAAGGGACGAGCGCGGCCACAGATAGAAGAACTGAAATCAACAAAACTTTTTTTAAAAAATATAATTGCTGAAAAAAATATTAGTGAGGTGATAATCCAACTGTTTACTGCCACACATATTCGGCGAATGTTTTTCAATGTCTCAAAGTGGACGAGGGTCTCCCCCAAGCCCGTCTCTGAAATTCAAGCTCGTAAAACAACTTTCATGACTCACAGATTCCTGTAGATGGCGACATTGCATCTCATTTTAGCAGAAGAGAAAGTTTAGGTGGTGAATCTTAGCTTGTCACCTCGATTGGGAGGAGGATAAATGCCAATATATTGATTGTCGGACACGTTTGGGCACCCAACTCTTGAACAGAGTTTACATGTGGGTGGAATAGACAAGAATTTTTATCACAGTAACTTGTAGGGAGTGTGGTCGCCATTGTGAGAAATGATGATGCAGTTCATGGAGTGAATGACAAACACAATGTAACCCCCCCAACCCCAAAAGTACCGTAATCCATTTGCTCCTTTTCCAGGAGGCGGCGGCGGCAATTTGTGATGACGAACTGCTCTCTCTTCTGCTGGACACCGGGCTGCTGGTTGGCTGCTCGTCCTCAGCCGCCTACCCGCTGCTCCACGCGCACATGCTAGCGTGCCGTCGGGACGCGGACGAGGCCGCCGGCCAGCTGCTGGCGGCGGGCCGTGGGGCCGAGGCCGGCTCCCTGCTGTTGGCCCACCGCGGTGCGCATCCGGCACACTTCACCTTCAACTCGGCCCTCGCCGTCCTCAAGAAGTGGTTGTGAGGTGGGGCGGTACACTACCATCGACTTTTTTTCAGGCACGTTGGGAGCTACAAAATATCAATGGAAAAAAAAATGCCGTTAGTTAGCAACCACACAAAAACACAACCAAAAAAAAAAAAAAACGGTCATGAATTAACAGGCAGGCGGGTGCTTTACAGTCTCCGCGCGCCGTTGGTCAAACAGACTCATCACCATTGTAACAATGTCACATTAATTCACGAATGGAATGCCTGTTCTCGACAGGATTTAAGAGCAAATTGGACAAAAGCTTGGCGAGAATTCAAATCTGGTTTCAAATCATGTAAAAATATCTCACCTTGGTCTTAAGTAAATTTCTGCCTGAATGATGCTACAAAATACTGTTCGCAAAATAAATACTGTGCAGAAAACAAAAATGTGCTTTCAAATTCTTAGATGATGACATGTAACAAAAAGGCCAACTGCATTGCGGGAAAAAAAAATTATGAAACATATTTAACGGTATTCTCGGACAGATAGCAGCCATGAAGAAAGCCAGAAGACTAACAAGTGGCCGATTAAGGAAACGACGGTTGCGCGTGATAAGCCTCCCCAAATGGTGTTAAGGTTTGTGTAAAGTCCTTCTAAATTCTGGGGAAAGCTTGCTCACATTTTTTTTAAAACGTAGTAAAATGTGTAATTTTCTCTCACCACAACAAATAAAAGGAAAAATCACCTCTGAGTGATTTTCATGTCCTTTTTTTGGTTTTGTTTTGTTTGTTTTCGGGAAATTCCTTTCATTTTTTTTGTCATTTTGAGCAGGCGGTCCACTTAACATGTCAGCGACTGCCAGCGCTAATGAATGCCTGTTTCAACAACGCAATTAGCCTCAAACGTCATGTTCTGCAACAGAATCAAAACCCCAGTTGTGACCCAAACAGTATTTTGTGCTGGAGGAGATGGCACGCGTTCAAACATGCTCATTCCCGTTCTTTCAAGGACTCTCATTGGAATCCTTGCGTTGACCTTTCAACTCTTTTATTGGATCCAAGCTTGCGCAGCAGCATCAGCAGCACATGCAAACAGCATCCAATACTTGCAGGCTCCTAATTTTGTATTTCCTTTTCACAAATTAATACCATTGGCTGATCCCCAAATTTTCTTGTCACCAAGTGAAAGTGTTTTGTCAAAACTCAACCAACTCTTTTGATTGGTCAAGGGTCTGAGCCACCTTGTTTTGACTCTGCGGGAGCCTTGCTGCATTATGTCTCCTCAAGCGTGGAAGTCTCAAACGTTTTAGGCAATAACAATTGAAAATAGTTATGTTAGAACCATTTGAGTAAGGTGGGGTTTTTTTCCGTTTTTTTAACAATAGCTGTTGTTCTTGGGTGCTGAAGGAACCAGTCAACCACGAAGGTAAATTTACATGCAGATTTATTTCTACCTATTAGGCAGCCTTGTCAGTTCCTTTTTTTTTTTTTTTGTATGACATGGAAATGTGTTCATGTTGCTGGCACACAACCAGTGTCAGATCACAACATAGGGTGTCATCACAACTTTAACCACCCCCTATTTGATAGGCTATAAAAATATGCCATTTAAAAAAAAGAAAATCCAGAATAATAATGTTGCCTTGAGTTCTGAGTTTGTAACTCAAATCACTCATTCTCAAAACATTTTTGCCAAATGATATGAATGGAAATGCCATCACCCTCTTCAGGATAAGCGGTGTTGATGATGGATGAATGGAAATGTCATCATCATCATCATCATCACCATTATCCCTGGTGCTCCTTCTGGCCACCAGGGGGCATTAACATACAGTCATGCAGATACAAACAAAGAAGTCTTTCACAACTACTGTAACTCAGCAAGAATAATATGTTTTTTGTTTTTTTTTTGCAGAAGATAATATATGTAAGGGATTATTATTAAGATGAATGGACTTACTTTCCTTCCTCCGTAAAAATGTCCTTTTTTTTTTTTCCATTAGAAATAGTCGCGTACGATTCTGCTTTGAAAAGCTGAATTCAGACTTGTTAAATTGCTCCTGTTGATATACTTTCGCTCCGTTCCACGGTCGTGGTTATAAAACTTTAAAAGAGTTTCCGATGAGTCAACTTTATTGTTCTATTATGTCACCGGGGCACAAAAGAAAAAAGAAAAAAAAGGAAATATTTGAGTTCCTCTGTTAAAGACTTGCCTCTGCTTGATTTCAACTTTCTTCAGAGTCGTTTAAAAAAAAAATCTAATAAAATCCAAGCTTGTCCTTGGTTGTAAATGTCTCCGGAATATAAAAATTCAAAATGATATTCAGTCTTTTTTTTTTTTTTTTTTTTGCTTTTCCTCCTCCCCAACCCCACCCTCTTAAATACGTTCACATTCGCCTTTCAAAGCACTTCTTATAATTACCGTCGATATTATTCCATGTTCACCTTGATTATGGGTGCTCATGATTCTGCTCATTCATGCAGAAAAAAGGCTCATTTTGTAAATGATGCATGATTTTGGGGGGCGGGACAAAAAGAAAAATCATGTGAGCTCGAAAGCACAAAATCTATGTTCATTTATTCCCGTGTCCTGAGGTCATTTTCTTTATTTGAAAACAAATGCCCAATCTAATAATGTCACATATTCATAATCACTAAAAAATTTAGAAAAAAAGTTAAAATAATTTTTAATGACATCAGTTTTTACCCCCCAAAATAATGCATTTTCCAATGTAGGAAATACTAAATACAACTAAAAACCTTCATCATGTTGTGTCGACAAGTGAATGGTTCAAAGTGAAGTGTTTTTCATTAAATAAATTAAATTTGCATTCAAAATGTAATTCAGATGAAAACAAAAATAATGGCAATAACATTTATTCTAAAGCAATGATACAATTTGGCTTTTTCTGTACTCGGCTGCTTATGCGAAATCAATCAAACATGTCGCTTTGTTTGCAACACTTTGACTCCATTTCGTTTCTGGGGCCCTAAAATGATGCGCCGAAAAATGCCAAATGACATTGGAGCGTCGCTATTTTTCAGCTCCAATTGTTCCAGACAGTCTACAATCCATCTCAAACCGTAATGAGTTTTTTTTTTTTTGTTCCCCCCCCCTCTCCAGTGTCCAAATGCTCCCTCAACACGTATGCTTTGTTAACAACACAGCTCAATGACAGACCAATTGAGAGCTGACCGGCCACGGACGCCACAAGTGTTGGTGTTCCATGGGGGAGAACGGGGCAATCAGTTGCCATGGCGACACCGAAGCAAGACAAGCGAGGGCGGCGGGGGTCTCTCGCGAGCAAAACACAGTGTCGACCATCAGCACGTCTCCCAACAACACCGAAAAAACAGATCCTGCGTATCTTCACAAATAAGACAAATTGTATGAGGCGAATGCTGCTGAATCCCTAAAGGTGGAGGGGTGCGCCATCTACTGCCATGGAGGATTGACTGTCATATTTCTTTTGCCATGATGAGTATTGGTGGCGAGTCGCGGTAGCATCCACAATGATCCCATACCTTAAAATCATTTCGTTATCAGCCCGATATCGATACCTGGAATTGGTACTCACCCATTCCTTGATCTAGTAGTTCACAGATGTCAACAAGCGTACAGCTCTGCCTCGCTAGTAAGTTATCGTTGTCCATTAGTATACAGAAATGTCATCTCGTAGTAGAAGAAAATTAGTAGTAAGACACAGTTGTACCACTAGTTCACCCCAGTCCTTTTACTCGTATGCTGACTTGTCTTGTGAGGACAAAGGGTGTACTAGTTGTCGCACATCAGGACCTTATGATTTTTTTTTTTAATTGCGTAAATATTCCAAACGGTTGGCCAGAGTAACCTCTTTCACGACTGCCTACCAATAACACAAATGAGGGCGTGTGCGTGCGTGCGAGTGTCATCTTCACCGTGTGTTGGAGAGACGGGATCCACCGAGGGCAGCGGCCTGGAATCTTAACTAATACAATCAGCAGCGGCATGCTGAGAAATGTTGAAAGCAGATGTCGGGGCTTTAAAGCTAATTAGCAATGAGGCGTGCGTGTGCGTGCTGTATGTTGACAAGCGTGTGTTGGGCTGTGAAAAGCGCTCAGAAGTCAAAGCTTCAGCCAAACGTGTGTGTAACCTTCAAATAACAGCATGACAAATGTGTGTGCTCAGTTGTTGCTATGGTGACCGCCCATCACTTACAGTGCTGTTTCCAGTGGAGAGGCCAGGTCCAGACTCCAGAAAAGCGGCGTCTTGAGATACGAGTTGAAATTGTCCCTCGACCACGTTTGAACTCAGAACACTCGTATCTCAAATCATCTGTCCCCATTGAAATGAATGAAAATGCCATTAATCCGTTCCAATCAACCCCTCACCCCGTACGATAAAAAAAGAATTGCAATGTTTTTTTGGCTTTTTTTTTTTAAGCTTGAAATCAGACCCCGTATATTCGTTTCTGGGGCCCTAAAATGATGCGCCGAAAAATGCCAAATGACATTGGAGCGTCGCTATTTTTCAGCTCCAATTGTTCCAGACAGTCTACAATCCATCTCAAACCGTAATGAGTTTTTTTTTTTTTGTTCCCCCCCCCTCTCCAGTGTCCAAATTCTCCCTCCACACGTATGCTTTGTTAACAACACAGCTCAATGACAGACCAATTGAGAGCTGACCGGCCACGGACGCCACAAGTGTTGGTGTTCCATGGGGGAGAACGGGGCAATCAGTTGCCATGGCGACACCGAAGCAAGACAAGCGAGGGCGGCGGGGGTCTCTCGCGAGCAAAACACAGTGTCGACCATCAGCACGTCTCCCAACAACACCGAAAAAACAGATCCTGCGTATCTTCACAAATAAGACAAATTGTATGAGGCGAATGCTGCTGAATCCCTAAAGGTGGAGGGGTGCGCCATCTACTGCCATGGAGGATTGACTGTCATATTTCTTTTGCCATGATGAGTATTGGTGGCGAGTCGCGGTAGCATCCACAATGATCCCATACCTTAAAATCATTTCGTTATCAGCCCGATATCGATACCTGGAATTGGTACTCACCCATTCCTTGATCTAGTAGTTCACAGATGTCAACAAGCGTACAGCTCTGCCTCGCTAGTAAGTTATCGTTGTCCATTAGTATACAGAAATGTCATCTCGTAGTAGAAGAAAATTAGTAGTAAGACACAGTTGTACCACTAGTTCACCCCAGTCCTTTTACTCGTATGCTGACTTGTCTTGTGAGGACAAAGGGTGTACTAGTTGTCGCACATCAGGACCTTATGATTTTTTTTTTTAATTGCGTAAATATTCCAAACGGTTGGCCAGAGTAACCTCTTTCACGACTGCCTACCAATAACACAAATGAGGGCGTGTGCGTGCGTGCGAGTGTCATCTTCACCGTGTGTTGGAGAGACGGGATCCACCGAGGGCAGCGGCCTGGAATCTTAACTAATACAATCAGCAGCGGCATGCTGAGAAATGTTGAAAGCAGATGTCGGGGCTTTAAAGCTAATTAGCAATGAGGCGTGCGTGTGCGTGCTGTATGTTGACAAGCGTGTGTTGGGCTGTGAAAAGCGCTCAGAAGTCAAAGCTTCAGCCAAACGTGTGTGTAACCTTCAAATAACAGCATGACAAATGTGTGTGCTCAGTTGTTGCTATGGTGACCGCCCATCACTTACAGTGCTGTTTCCAGTGGAGAGGCCAGGTCCAGACTCCAGAAAAGCGGCGTCTTGAGATACGAGTTGA